ACTAACAGATATCAATATAATTGATCCACCTATGCCATGTCACCACTGTGCCGCGACCCCCTGTACTGGGATTTTTATAACGAAAAATATAACTATTATTAAATATAATATTTTAATTGATGTTAGTACATATTTAATTATTTGATTGATTTTAAAATTAAATCTTCCATGTATTTACATAATATATAAACAAAAATTAAACTGATTAAAGTATATTGAACACTTATATTTTCTCATACTCAGAAGCAAAACCAAACTTATAAGATATTTTAGTTAATTTATGTTATTTGTTAAAAAGCAATGATCAACCTTTTCTTCCCTTTTAGCGTAAAAAAGAGTAATATCCAAAATATGATTTTTGTGATGTATAACATTGATCATATTAGCGCTATCTAGAATTATTTATTTGATAATAAAAAACACTTCATAGTAAAATTAATACCTTCTCAGCATCGAAGCTAAAACTTTTAAAAAAAATATAAACTGTGTAAGCATAATTATTGCCAATGCTGGATCAAACCAATAATTTTTAAATCGTCTGCAAATTTAGTGGAGGTTATAGCTCACTCAGTTCCTATGGGGCTACATAACTCCACAACTCTTAAAGTTTTTTTCGCAATTTTCATTAATAGTTAATAAAAAATTTGTATTTTATTCATTAAGTTTTATTTAAGGAATTTTTTTTTTATAATTAATTTTCCTTGCTATTTTATGTATATTTTTGTTTAGTTACAACAATAGGTATATATTGAAAGCTTTTAAGTAATAAATATAAAAGGATATTTATAGTCAAACAAACAATTAAAATTTTTTTTTAGACTATTAAAAATTTTTTTGAGCTCCTTAAAATTTAATTTGTTTGACTAGTGCTATTACTTAATTTTATAAAATTTTAAAAAATATTTTAGTGATATGATACTCAGGGTCAAGTTGAAGTATGCTTAATCCCCTCAAACAAATGTTTTCTCTTTTTTACCTATAATCATGAAATAATTAATTAAAAAAAAGGATATAATTTTATTTAGTGCTAGCCTTTATTTTTCATGTATCTTGGAGACTACTCCTGGAGATCTCTGCCATCCTTAATTCAGGTCTGATAATATTACTATGATACTTAATTTCTATTAGTAAATAAATCGTTGAACTAAAATATACTTAATTTACATTTTCAGCTTTAATTAATCTTAGACTTGAAAAAAGCTCATAATTTATCATCAATT